AGCTATTTTACAATTCCCATGCTTTTTCAATATTTGATTAATAATACCTTTCTGGAAGCCATAATATAAATTAATTATAATGTAAAATTTATAATTTATAAAAAAAGACATGTTGTTATATTTAAGTCTGACAAATATGTGTGTGTGTGTGTGTGTGTGTGTGTGTGTGTGTGCGTGCGTGTGTGTGTGTGTGTATATATGTGGTAATTCATTTAATTATTTAATATAATAATAACTACACACTCGCATGTATTATTCTTTGAAATAATTTTATTCTCTGAATTTCATTTTTTAGATTCTGCTTTCCTGTACTTTTCTGTGCATTTATATTTTATGTGTATTTATAATTTATTTTATTTTACATATAATAGAAATATAAATATTATACGTATTAAAATTTAAATTTAAATATAAAATATCATAAAAAAATTTTAAATGCCTGTAATTAAACGTACAAAAATTTAAGGAATAGATAAAAAGAATGTAAAGTGTCGAGTGTGATCAAATTTATTAGATAGTGAATTTATTAGATAAAGTTTTTTAGTAGTAAAATTTATATAATATTCATACCTTTTTTTATGGGATCAAAGATTATCATTGTACTTTCCTGAGCACGTGCGTAATCGTATCTTATACCATGGAGACGATTTCTCATGAACTTCATGCATTCTTACGGCTAGTCTTACAAACTTATCATACTAATTATCATCAACGTCCAATGATATAAATAATCTGAATCAGCTAGAGAAAAGTAGGTCTGAGAAATACAGACTCTATAAATAATTTTTAACATTTTAATGATGAGGTAAGACTTAAGATGTTTGAAGAATCGAGCATTTTCTAACGATTTTATTACAGTAACTAATTTATATTGTCTTTTATTTTGTACTTGAATTGTAAACATTTTTTATCTAGATGTTTAATTCTATTTAAATCTCTTCATTTTTAATAAATAAAATTATTCTATAAGCTTTCGTATGCGTTTCTTTAGCAACAAGAATGGCCTCTATAAGCCAAAGTCCGTTCTGTTTTTAGTAAGAAATTGAGCAGCATACTCAGCAGTTAGTTGTAGGCGCAATATCAACTAACAGCTTAATGCAGAGGTTTTCTTAATACGTATCTTATTACATCATTGCAATACATTATTATTTTAAATAAATAGACCAGTCATATATAATAAATAACTTTTATTTTTGGCTACAACAAAATTATATATTAATTATAAAAATAAGTCTATAATCTATTTAGAAGGAAAAGATAATCGGAATTGTAATTATAAGAATTCTGGCGTGATAAATTATTTTTTATGTAAACTGTGTAATATATATAATAAATATTAAAAAATTAGAGAAACTTATACATGTAGAATAATAAACCCATGCTAAACATACACAAAATAATAATCAGTTATAGTCATAGCGTTGAAAGTTATAAATCATCTTAAGCTAAGTATATTGTAATGAAATCTGGTAATGGTTCCATTTCGAGTGTTGTTATTTTATTAAATGTATTATTTCGTATAAATAAATGTTGCAATGAATTTATCGAGTATATACCCATTTCTGAAATACTTGCAAATTTATTCGAATTTATATTTAAATATTGAAGGTTTAACAATGACAATGCCCAATCAATTGGCAAATAACTCAACTGATTTTTTGACAGATCCAAGTATTCTAATTTCTCTAAGCCTATAAAGTTTTCCTTTTCAAGGTGTTCTATTTTATTTCCTTTCAATGATAATTTTGTCAAAGATGTTAAATACCTAAAAGTATTTGGTTTAATAAATTTAATCATATTGTAACACAACGATAATTCATTAAGCCATTTCAAGTGAGTTAAAATAGGAACGTATGACAATTTATTATAATCTAACAAAAGCACTTTTAATGATGATGGAAATCTTTCGAATTGAATGATAACGTCGAACAGGTTACCAAAATCATTGCTGGATAAATCAAGTTGTTCTAAGTACGGTGTTCCGAAAAATCCCGTACTTAGATGTTTCGTGCAATTTGATAATGATAACATTCGCAATTTCGTAGAATTTATAAAGAGAGTTTCAAGAATATTTCCATCCAAATATAAAGAGGTAATTTCTCCTATGTTTTGTAGGGTTAAATTACGAATATAATTGTTCTCCAAATGAAGGACGCGTAACGATGCAGAGATTTTATAGAAGAAATTAGATTCCAATTCTATCGCGTTAATTTTACATAAATCTAAACGTATTAATTTTGGAAACGACAAATTGAATTCCCATGGAAACGCTGACATATCATTTCCACATAAATTGAGATATTCTAAATTCGGTAATCTTATCTTGGTGGTATTAAAAATCAAACGTTTATATATATCTTCTATTTCTTCAAACGTTTCCACTTCTGTTTCCGGTATAACATTTGATATTCTTTGATTGCTTAAGTCTAATACTCGAAGATAAGGATGTACAATTTGATTTGCCTCGTACAGGTTGATGTTGTTATGTGACAAATTTAAGTACGATAGATATGTCACGTGATCTAAGATATGTGGAACCTTTTTTAACGAATTGTGTGAAAGAAAGATATCCCGAATTGCGTCACTCTTAATAATGTCATTTTTAATTATTTTCAAATCCATTTCACTCAAATTCAAAATTTCATTTGCTGCATTTTTATAATTATTTTCTTCTTTACTGATGATCTTTATATTAAACTTTTTTTCGTGTTCTTTGGAAGCAATTGATACTGTCTTTGTACTTGTTCGTTGTAATAAAGTTGACTCTCCAGCCAACAAAAGCGTTAATATAAATAGTATCAATTTCATCTGTAAAAATAATAAAAAATAACTTGATATTGTGCAAAATTGTAATGCTCAGTATGATTTGCAAACTATACATAACATTATATAAGATGATTTGATAAGATGAATCTTTCGCACGGGGGTAGAATGGATTAAACTGATGAGAAGAAAAGTCCTCTATCATTTTGCAATTTTCGCAATAATTAATAAGATATTAATTGCTAAAAATTGCCGAAAATTGGTCTTCAATGACTTTTTACTCAAATACCATCAACTTTCCAAAAAAACTGTAAGAAACAACATTTTCTTCTCATAAAGTTCTGAGAATTTTTTCAGAATTTTTTTAATACCGTATTTTTTCATGTTGATAAAAATAAGAAAATGGAGTAAAAAATGGTTGATAAAAAATTCTGAAAAAAGTTCTTAGAGCTGTATGAGAAAAAAATAGTTTTTGTTTTTTACAATTTTTCTGTAAAGTTGATCTGTAAAATGTCTGAGTAAAAAAATTATTGAATTTTCGACAATTTTCGACAATTTTTACAGTAATTAATACTTTGTTTACTATTGCGAAAATTATAAAATGGTAGAGGGCTTTAATTTCTTCTCAGTTCATTCTACTCCTGTACAAAAGATTTATCGTTATTTATCAAACATCCTGTAGAGTTTATAAGAACTATGCAAAACTTATTTATTAGTTAAAAAACATTTATGAATCCAATTTTTCCTCAGCAAAAAAAATACTGTTCGATGTTTTTTATACATTATAGCACCATTTCTAACTTTAGTTGGAGATTATGATTTATAATTAAATTAAAAATTATTAAAAATTATTAAAAATTGGACTTTGAAGCATAATAATTTTTTATTTATTTTTGCTTATATAATATTTACTTTCTCGAAACAAATAATTTTTGCCTTTAATATTTTATCATTCCTCTAAAAACAATACAAATATTTTAAATATTTAAATGCTTAAATTAGCGGGAATATACCTTATATCAAACAATATAATGACAATTGAAACATAATTGTCTGATAATAACATATAAAAACATAAATAAATTAGAAAAAAATTATCTTACATTATAATAATACAAACACAGAAAAATTAATTGTTATATTTTTCAATTTGTCAAAAAAAAAAAGGGAATTCAAAATTAAAAAATAT